TTGAATTTGTGGAAGCAGAGGAGTCACTTTCTGTGCGAGAAACATGGACCAGAAAGGGGCCAGCATCGATGTTTGAATATTTCAAGTCAGAGTTACTTTCGTATCCCTCCAGGGTATATGTATGCTGAACTGACGCAGACGGCGGGAGTCTTGACTTTTTAGCGGAGCTATCAATGTCCGCGCAAGCAGGGCGCTTGCTCTTTTGACCACTGGTGTTGATCTCCATTGAGCTTACGGACGGGGATACAGATAGAGAACGAGGCCCCCTATCAGGGGGCTCCGCCTCGTCGTCGGAATCACAGAACATAAGGGGACTTGCCTCTATGTTATTTTTTTTTTTTTACCACCACCAACACAAAATACGACACAATTTTACACTCTCAGTGAGAAATTAGAGTCGAAAAGCGAAATTCAAAATTCAAAATTCAAAATTCACACCTTTCAACCGCGACCTGACAGCCCATCCGTTGCAATCTGGGAAAACCTCACAAAACAAAACATGACTGACACCACAAACCATGCCACAAACTTTGACTGACACTAGCGAACAGTGTTGCCATCTCCAAAATCTGGTCGTCGGTGATTCTGCTCGTAAAATACGGTAGATCCTGAAATTACGGTGATTGGGCCAAAACAGTGTAATTATGGTACAGCTATTATTCATTTTCACTTCTTATGCTCTTAAAGTTCGTATTTATGCTGGGTATAAAATAGGATAAAATAGGCTGCATAAAATAGGATTTTATGCTCTAGTGTACGTAGTATCTCTTATTATATAGTTTGTGCTCTAGTGCATAAAATAAAACCGTCGTTTAAGAACCGAGGCAATGACGCCTGCGCCAACAGCCACGCACAAATAAAGTTTTACTTTTTTTTTTTAATCCGTGTTATTATATTACAAAATTAAAAAAGTAGGCAATAGTAATTTTAATAAGTGATAAGAAATAGAAATGCATAAATAATTGTTTATTTGTAAAATTACTGTTTAATTTCCTCACGAAGTGAAAAGAAGAGTGTATAACTCATACATAAAACCCATTGTACCCTCGACTTAAATATCCACACTCGCCTGCGGCTCGAGTGGTTATGCTCGTCTCGGGTAATATGACGCGTTTTATGCACTTGTTGTACAATCTACTATTGTTATGCTTTGCATAGTAACTTAACCTTGTAAGAGTAACCTTTTATGAGAGTGAATTAGGTACCTAACTTTATTTTATACTTAAGTTAATATTAAAAAAAAAAAACATTTTATATTTTATATATATTTATTATTATATATATTTGCATACTTTTTACTACAAAACTACTTACAAAAGAAAATTACAATAAGAAAAGTATTAAAAAATAAATCTAAACATTTACAAAGATGAGGAGAGGAAGACCTTGGCAAAAATTAGTCTAAATCTCATCCTTTTTATAAAACAACAACTATCAAATACAATCTGGATGATCAATCAATTTGGATAGACTGCTGCATCAAAAGATTTCCTTAAATGGGACACGTTATTATTAATTTAACCGCATACATCGATCGCGCACCTCTTTTACAAAAAAAAAAAAATTCGGCTCTGCCGATTACGGTAGATTTTGTCACTGTCGTCATGTGTCGACGGTAGGTGGTAAATTTGTACTGAGTACGGTGCATTCACTGATGGCGAATGATGAAAAAATAAAAATATGGAGTTTTATTTTTTTTAATAATTTTTTAGAGATTTAACGGCTTCTATTTCTATAATTAATTTATTACCTATTCTATTCGTATGGTCGTATTCCAAATGCTCAAGTCAGGACTTGAGTATGATTTCAAGCACTAGAAATCATACCCAAGTCCTGAATTGAGCATTGAGTAGAGTTCTGGAATACGACCCTTAGCTACCTGACACTGTGGCCGTTTCATCCATTAAATTGACCGCCAGGAATTATTATTAATAAGACGTCCAATCTAAAAGCACACACTCACCAACTAACCACAGACCAAGAAGAAGATATGACGATGTCTCATTCTATTAGGAGCACGTCAAGTTGGACACTTTGAATCGTTCTTACAGTAAGCGGGATAATGTTTAATTGTGTGTAGTGAATAAATGTTATATGTCAAGCTTGACGTGGTCTTGACCCTGTACAAGTGATACCTCCGCCAATATTATTTCGCTTTAATTCGATGGAGCCATAGCATTTTAAAAAAGAAGAAGACCGAAGACTATAAATGTATCTGGATTGATTGAGAGTTATTGTTCCCGTGTCCGTACAGTAAATTTAAAAAACAAAATGCTAACAAAATCTCAGTCATTTATGTTATTGATAGAATGATTTAATTTCTTCAAATTAGACGCTTGTAGAAGCGTTGCAGTGGCGCGTCTGTGGCGCTACTAGCGCTGCAGCTGCGAAACTACCATTTTCATACAATATTAGAAGCTTATTCGCGCCACTTTTGCAAACTAGGTAGTATAATATGAATTTTAGTAGTGGCGCGTCTACAAACGCTCAGACGACGCGGAGCTGCAGCGCTTCTACAAGCGCCTCGTTTGAAAGCCCTATCTCCAACGTTCTCGGTCGCTTGCTGCCTGAGCAAATAATAAAAAAATTTAACTGCTGTAATAATAATATAATATTTTAAATTTTTTATTGAATTGATATTCAATATTTTTTTGTGAAATTACTCCACTAGTTTTTTATAATTTTTTTTTAATTTTAAAATATAAAGATCGAACACTCAGAAAAAAAATCCTTCGATCCGGCCGGATTCGAACCGACGTCTTCTAGCATACCGTGCTAGACGCTATACCAACGAATTATTTACAAAAAACTAATAAAGGGCCGATTTATTGCCGGTAATTCACCACAATTAACTGCCTCCGTGGCCGAACGGTTACCATGCCGGACTGCCACGCAGAGGTCCCAGGTTCGATTCCCGGGCCGAAAGAAATAGTTGTATGGCCTACAATTATTTATCTCGTGAGTTTGGGTGTAATTTGTGGTTGTCTATGTGTGTGTCCATGGTACCCGCGACACAGGATTTCCCTAGTGCGGGGCTATGTTGAGTGTGTGCGTTATTATAATAAAAATATGACATATTTTTTTTTATTTATATCGTAATGGTGTTTACCAGTGTTGCCAGATAGCTTTTTGTACATTAAGTAGCCGATATTCGCCCAAGCCATAAAATTCCTAAAAAACCATTGGATTGGAGGATGGTTCGCACGCTGCGACTACATTCATAATCTTGCATTACACGGCAGATGGCAAGACGGACTGCAATGCAGGATAGTGACTTCCCCCTTTTAGCGTGCTCTTGAAAGGTGCACAAGGTCTCAGAGCATTGTTTATTCCATAATTTTATTGTTAACTAGTGTTGAAAGAATTTTTATATTAAAGTTATCACCAGGGAGACCGCGTATGTAGCATTGGTAAAAACATGTATCTACACAAAACCAAATTTTACAGGACTTTGATTTTTACACAGTAAAACGGCCCATTCACTACCTGCATGGCAGTCCGCCTCACAGGCAGGACCCTGCTTACACACTATCATGTCCTGTCACATATGACGTCTCGCAGGACGTATTGTAGGATTACTGATGCCTTGCTCGCTGCGACTACATTTTATAATTCTGCATTACACGGTGGACGGCAAGGCGGACTGCAATGCAGGATAATGAATGCCCCCTTTAAGCATTAATTTATTTTGGCTACGGACTGGCAACAACAAATTGCCGTAAATCTTGTTAATTTACTTGCTACGTCAATTACACGGATTTGATTTAGCACAATGGAAACTCATACCGTAAGTTCCATGATATGAAAATCGAAGGCACACAATAATGCAACAAAAAAATTATAAATGCATTATAGAACGTGTTTCATTTGATTGGACTCATTTGGGAGTTTGAGTACTTCGATGTATGGGAAATTGCTGCCGAACATTGGGGAATATGAACTCTCTTAATTCCCAATTCGGCAGCAAGCAGAATTGTAAAATTGTTTTTTAGGGATTTTATGGCTTGGGCGAATATCGGCTACTTAATGTACAAAAATCTATCTGGCAACACTGGTAAACAACATTACGATATACGTAATAAAAATATATGGTGAATTACCGACAATAAATCGGTCTTTAATAGTTTTTTTTTAAATAATTTATATTGTCTATCATGTCACAGATATAGTGTTTAGTATATAATTGTAAGGCAATGGTTTAGTAGCAATATTCGTTCAAATGAGTTTATTTAAAATAGTTTTAAAGTAAACTTAACTGTGAAAACTTGTAGAATTTTCAAATTCTTTTTAATGTTGGCAGGTAGAAGTTTAGATTGTGATTCTTTTTTTAAAGTTCTTAATTTAAATTCAGGTAAGTGTCTTTTCCAAAAATAACGTATAATTTTTATTATGTATTATTTAAGCTTTGGTTTTATAGCCATCAGCTTGAAATATAACAAATAATTAAGAAACTCTAAAATGTATTAGTGTAAAATCTAAAAAGAAATGACTTCCTTTTCGTAACGTATAATTTTTTTATTTATTTGTTGAGCTTGGTTAATGTTTAAGCTGATTGCTTGAACAAGTAACAAATAATAAAGAAACTAAACGTAATAATATTTAAAACTAAAACTAATAATTTAACGAAAAATTAACTATCATAGAATTGCTTTTGGGAATGCCTTTTTTCCATCTTCAAATGCAAGAACGGCGACAAAAGCCTATTCAGTATGTAATGAATACAGTACACCAATGAGTGTTTTTTGGAATTTATAAGTAGATTAGATTACACAAATCGATAGCCATTAATCTTATGAAGTTGTAGATAACACGAATGTATTGTTTATATATCTCTATATACCTATGTAGAATTTAGTCACATTCTCCAAGTGTAACTTGTTATTCATATAAACAAGGGTAAATATACCACATAGGCACTTTAAAATGGAAAAATATTTTATCTTAATCTTTGGTCTAAACCACTTAGGGTAGCTTCATTTGGGGCCTATGCAGCTGTTCTATTATGATCACCACTAATTACAGATCAGAGCCAAGGCTGACAGAATTAAATAACTGAAGGACTTTCCTGGGTTCGACAATTTTCATGTCCTCTGATTGTGGCCTGTGCCTTCCCTGTGGAACTTCGTACACCTGTCAAAGGGCAACATTAGGTGAGGAGATGCACAGGAATTTCAACAGCCTCGTGGCAGAATCTACACTATTCTCTTTTTGCCCGATATTTCACATGTGCTTGTTCAAGCCACAACTGATGCATTCCTGTTTAATGACCGCTTCTCTGCAGTGTTTGGCACTGTAGGCAGCTATCAGGGCTTTTGAATGCTCAAAACCCTTGTTCTGTAGCCACACTTCTTGGGAGGTGTGTGTGCACTCATTTAGCAGAGTGAGCTTTGTCAGGCTGTATGCTATCCCTATAAAGGGATAGGGACCAATAAAGTTTTCCCTAGCACCAGTTTTTGCCAGTTCAAGTGCTGAAATCTTGCGTTACTACAATGCCAGTCTTAGGGACGTATTCCAGAACTCTACTCATTGCTCAAGTCAGGATTTGAGTATGATTTCAAGTACTGGAAATACAACCCTAAACGTCAGGACTTGAGTATAATTTCTAGTGCTTTAAATCATACTCAAGTCCTGACTTGAGCATTGTGTAGAGTTCTGGAATACGACCATAAAACTCACTTATTTAGGAAGTTTAAATTATTTCATTTCAATACTCAGTTTGACCTTCAAATTGAAGATTAATTGTTAGTAGGTTGACTATATAAACTATCTAAGAAGATATGTGGATCTGTGAACTTTTGGTGAAATTACTGGCACGTGGGACTAGTTAATTTATGTCGCAGTGTGACGGACGCAATGGCAGTGCCCTTCAGATCTTTGCTTTGCTGTAAAGCTCGGAATGGGACTGCAATTGTTATGTACAGGAGTGTAGCTTACCATCAGGCGCATGACTTGTTCATCCTATCACTTGGCATCAAAAAAAAAATTATAAAACATTCCCAACCCACATTGGACATGCACAATAGTCTATGATCCAACAGACACCACTTGTAACATATGTGAGCTGTTCTGTGAACTCAGTAAAATTTCAATTGTTCAATATAGCTGCCCTTGCGTTAACTTAAAAGTACTAAACACGATTTGTATTACGGTTTCTTCTATTACTATCGCAAACAATGCAAGTTGCTGACGGCTACATGTAACAATGCTCACATGAATAAAGTGGAAAACAATATCAAGTTGAACCCTAGAGTATTTTGGTCGCACATTAAGTCGATCAGACAGTCAAACGATCCGTCTGTGTTTGGTAGATCCAACTCACAAGAAGTTGCTAATGATTTCGCGACATTTTTCAGAAGCGTTTATCTGACTTCTGCTCCCGCATTGATTCCCGATGATGCTTTTGCTGCTGTAGCTACGGCAATACGCTCATCGTACCAGCTGTTTTCCGATCGACATGTAAGTGTGAACCAAGTAACGAAATCCAATATTTATAGAGCCATGAAACAACTGAAGCCTAAACTGACCCAAGGGCCAGACGGTATTCCACAGGTGATTGTAAAGGATTGCAGGGAGGTATTCACTGACCCCCTATTCCATATCATTAATTTATCGTTGAAACGCAATACATACCCCAAGGTTTGGAAAACATCAAAAGTCATACCAATACATAAATCTGGTCACAAATCTGAAATAATGAATTACCGCGCCGTAGCTGTATTATCTGTTTTTGCCAAAGTCATGGAAACCGTTTTGCACAAGTCTATTTATGAGCAACTTAAGGGGTGGTTCTGTGACCAACAGCATGGATTTCTACCCGGCCGCTCTACTGCTTCCAATCTCATGAATTTTACCACGACCATCTCTAACGAGTTAGACTCCAGAAAACAAGTCGACGCGGTATACCTAGACTTTCAGAAAGCGTTCGATCGGATTAAATGTGATGTATTACTGAGAAAATTGGTATCTACCGGTTTCTCAAATAGTCTGACCTAATTTTTCGCAGACTACTTTGCAAGCCGTCAGCAATACGTATGTTATAATAAATACCAATCTCTACCTTATAATGTAAACTCTGGCGTGGGTCAGGGAAGTTGCCTTGGACCACTAATGTTCTTAATTATCATTAACGATTTGCCACTAACTATCCGAAATAGCCAGTGTCTCATGTTCGCGGATGACGTCAAATTGGCTATGACTATTAAGTCTGATACTGATTGTACGCTATTGCAGGAGGACATTGATAACGTGTACAGGTGGGGAAGGGATAATAGTTTATAGTTGAATGTAGATAAGTGTACGATTATGTCTTTCTCTCGTGCTCGCAAACAAGTAATCTCTAACTATAAAATACGCGATACTCAGATCAGTCGAGCTAAATCAGTCAAGGACTTAGGCACGTGGTTCGACACAGAGCTCACTTTCCGAGAACACATCTCAAAGATTAATAATTCATCGCGTAAATGTCTCGGTTTTGTCTTAAGACAGTCAAAGTCATTCAAAACGAACCTCACATCATGTCTTCTATATAACTCGTTTGTTCGGAGCAAATTGGAATGTAACGCCATCATTTGGAACCCTGTCCACCACAACCACACTCAAAAATTAGAGAAAATTCAAAAGGCATTTGCTCGAAATTTATATGTATAAGAAGATGTATGGTTATTACCCTTTACTGTACCCCACAACATTTATTTTAGGCATGGTAAATTATAGAATGTTGGAGGTAAGACGCAATCTGGCTCTTGTGACTTATATGTTTCGTCTGGTACGAGGAATAATTTACAACCCATTTTTGCTTTCGAGGATAAACTTTTTAGTACCAAGAAGAAATTTTGTGCGAACCCTCTGTGCGAATAAAGTCAGGTTATTTGCAATACCTTCTACACGGTGTAGAGTGAGTGAGATGGCCCCCCTGCCCCGAGCACTTAAGTATCTCAATGAGTTGCTCAACTTCGACTCTTCATTGGACCTTTTTGCTGGCTCAGAGTCAGAGTTCCTGTTTTCCGCGGGACGCTATCTGGAGTCCCTGACCGGAGGCAGCAGCATTACGTAATACGTATTTAGTTGTTAGTCTCAATAAGCAATTAAATAAATGAATGCTAATTTATATATATATATATACAGGGTGTAACAGCAAGGTGTAGTCATATTTGAAGGTCGGATTCAGTTAATGGTATGAAACTATTTAGCAAAGTTGTTTTAGTACAAACTACGTTATTTATGGAAATTTCGCCATGAACAGTTTCGATCAGCTGATGTCATTTAACGAAAATAAATAGTCACATCACATCTCTATTGAGTATCATAATACAACCAAATTACGTAACTTGAAAAAATTGTGAAATTCAGGCATGTTATTGTAAATGATAAAGTACTTAATGCCATATTCTTATTACTATGTTATAATTTACTAAATTTGTTATTATTTTATTCATGTAATATGCGTGTGAACATTTAATGAAAAATAAATATTATCGATTACTTTGCCAAAATACACTAGTTCATAATAAAACTATTATTTAAAACTTAGTACATAATAACGTAATATGGTTTCGTTAACTTCATATCTTCAAACATACAAAATGCACAAATTTCCATTTAATATCCATTAATAAAACTAATGTCCTCTAAAAAACACATATTTAAAGTTATCTCTGTTTCTTTTTACCACACGCATTCATCTATTGTATTTTAATGAATGAAATTTGTCTCTTTCTATCCGTCGGTACTGTTCTAACGCATGGCGGCTAGCGAATCAGTCGGTATGTTTCTTCTAACGCATGACGCAATATGACGCAATTATCCGACTAATACTTCGCACCCTTACAATGAAAGCGACCCAAATCAAAAAATTAAAAAATGAGTTTATACCGTAAAACCATCTTAAAAAAATATTTTGTTACATTAGTCACACTGTGGTGAAGATGAAATTGTGCAATTAAAGCTCGAATAGCACTGATTCATAAAGGTCCCTTTCATTTTGTTCTTTCAGTTTAAAAATTCTACTCCCGCGTCGAAATATTAACGCCGCATTTATTGTTGAATCTGCATTTGCAAAGACAACACGCTGCCACTGACGGATTAGCATTTGAGCCATTTTCGTTCCGAAAATCATATTCAAAAATCACTAGTAGCAGTAGAGCTCCTTGTGAGTTCGTCCAGGGTAGTACTGCCACTTTACCGTGTTACAGTTTTGAAGGGTAAGGGTGCTGGTGAAATTACAGGCACATGGGACTTGTCAACTATGTCTCAGAGAGATGGACGCCGTAGCAGTAGCCTTCGAGCGGCAGTGCTACTGTTATGGACAGGCGTGACGCTTTCCACCGGGTACACGACTTGTTCGACCCGTCGCTTAATATTTAAAAAAAAAAATTTTTTTAGTAACTTACTTTTTAAAGGGACTTACTTTTTTGTTTCGTGGACTTTCTTCTTTTTTAATTGTGAAACAGGGACCACAAAACAATATCAAGGGTTATGACATCTTGCTTAGCTGATGAACATTAAAAAGACTTAATTCTTAATACGATAAATGATAACAAAAAATCGTTAAAAAAAAGACCTATTGGCGACTAGTTTTTGTAAATTATGTTTTTAAATTGTTGAACATTAAAATGATCAGAAACAATTTTCAGTTGTAAAGTTCCATTTTTCCTCATTATTTTCAAAGACTAATAAGGCCATCACCTTTAGTACTCCAAGAGTAGGTAATAAATAAAATAATATAAAAAAACTTGAAATATTATTTTCTTTTTTATTCCCAAAAAGTTGGAATTTTGTATTGGGACACTTTCATCGTAAAGGTGCAACCTGAAGGTCGGTAAACGTCAAGAAATTAGTTTTGATCGTTGACCACGAATTAATTATTGTAATTTTAATTTAATTTAATTTTTTTTTTATGATTGATTTAGTGTCTGTTTAAGTATATCTAAATGTTTTAAAATGAATGTTGAGCACAGTAATAATTGGGCACAGATATGCCTGTTGTATTAATTTTTAAGTGTTTTTATTTTCCTCACTTTCTGTATCTGATGTCTGTACATTGTGGCATAAATAAAAAATAAAAAATAAAAATAAAATAAATTTTCATCACTTGCTTGGAAATGAAAATATCGTGAGAAAACTTGGATTTCGGAGATAATTGCCGAAATCTTCAAAGATGCGAGAATGTCAAGTTTCCAACCAGTACTTACTATGCAAGTGCAGTGGACTAAACCTTGTGCAAAAAATAGTACTTTACTAACTTACATACGTCTATTGCTGAGCGCACGTTTCTAACAACAGGCTTACGCTTAATTTGACTTATCTACACACGACAACTTTCTGGGTACGGGTTTATTACATGGTGAAATTGAAATAATTAATATCCGTTGAACCTATTAAGGTTCTTACTTCCTAATAATATCTACTCATCTAAAGAAATATTTTAGAATAGTTTAAATTAGCAATAGTGTAAAACCATAAAAAATCTTACCTAAATAAACAAAGTATCAAGATTAGTCGCCTTGCGTACGCGATACGTAATCGTAGCGAAGTCGCAAGCCTTTGGCGGCAACTTTGGCGGCAAAAATATCACCTTTGATTTTCGCCGCCAGCATTTGATTTTATACATGGTGATGTGGATTAGTGGTTAATGTTAGACTCGTTTCGGAGGTCGTGGATTCGATTCTCATAGTTGACTGGCTCTATGGGGTAGTTGTTAGAGTGTTAGGTTTTCTTTGCGGATGTCGTAGATTTGATTCCCATAGTCGACTGCCTCCATAGTCTAGTGGTTAGAGCGTTAGGCTTTCTTTTCGGAAGTCGTGGATTTGATTCCCATAGTCGACTGCCTCTATGGTGTAGTGGTTAGAGTATTAGGCTTTCGTTTCGGCGGTCGTGGATTTGATTCCTATAGTCGACTGCCTCCATGGTGTAGTGGTTAGTGTGTTAGGCTTTCGTTTCGGACGTCGTGAGTTTCCGATGGGTGACTGCCTCCTTAGTGCAGTATATCCGTAATCACTCAGTCAGTTCTTGCATTATGTGGAAGTGGTACGGGTGATGGTCAGAGCTTGTTTACAAACAAAGGCGTATGCAGTGCAACGTTGAAGGTCGTAGACGTAGGATATAGGTATTCGTTTAATGTGTATGTAATGTAATGATGTAATTTGTATCAGGAGAAGGGTCTTATTTCAAAAGGATGGTAATAATTTTAATTTCATCCTGTAGGTACTGTAGACGAGGTTGTACTCTATGAGTAGAATTGCTGGCTGAACATAGATAATAATTATAGTTTTTTGTATTTGGAACGCTAAGAAAACAAGGAAAGGTCTTGACATACATATTAAGATGGCTGTTTCGTAACCCTAGACATGAAAATGGTAAAATAAACCAAAGTTTAAGTTAATCCCGGTTTTTATATTATTAAAAGTACCTCTCGCAATGCATCTGAGCTACAGCCCTCGATTATAAATGGTGGAGAC